CTATAAAAAATGGGTCTTGTTTGTTTACCTGAATGGATTAATTGATTAGGGCCAGATTTCAACAGGTATTTAACTAGCTAAGTGGGATTTTCAAAAGTGGCCACATGCCCAACACCCAGTGAAGTCTGGACACTTTTGAAAATTACATTTGTTGCTTATTTGCAACGTTATGTGCCTAAATATCTTTAAAAATCTGACCCTAAGTGTCAACCACTACTATATTAGAAGAGATGACAGGATGGCCCTTTATACTGCAAACTGCATAGCTTGGGTGTGTGTTGTATGTCATCCAGAATACTTAGTGATCATGAAATAAATAATTATAATAGGGTGGCATCTTGGAGGCATAATTTTTTTTTGTGCTTGGCCCTATGCTAGGAGCAACCTCCCACATTTTGTATATCAAAAATAACTCCAATTTCCTCTTTTAGATTCTTATTTAAAGCTCATATCTTTGCAAAAGCCTGTTAGAGGGTAGAGCAAGGTAAGACAGTAGGTAAGGTACAAGATTCAAAGTCAAGAGACCCAAGTTTGTTTCTTAATTCCTCTGTTGCCTCACCGTGTGAACTAGGATCAATCCCTACACTGCTCTGTTCCTTAGTTTCTCAATCATAAAATGGGAACAATAACATTTAGTCACCACTTTGAAATACAGTTGGAAAGCACCACATATGAGACAGAATTATGTCCCGCTCCTCACCAAGGCTGTCTCTGCTTCTTATTATGAAAAATGATTTGGAACCTTTTCCCAAACAGCTTTTTGTTTAGAGTGAGTTTAGGTGCGTGCATGTACACAGACTCACATTTTAAATACTACGTTCAGTTGCCAAGGAGATAATTTCTGTGCTGTTCTTTACTAAAATAGAATATACATATTTCTCAGGTGGTACAATGTAACTCAAAACCTTTAATCCTTCCTAGTGAGGGGTTACTATTAATTTGCTAAGCGTCTTCAGCATGAATAACATTGAGAAAAAGACACAGTCTCTTCTCCCAAGGGCTTGCATTCTGTACAGATAGATATTGCACTGCAACAGCACACAAGGTACTGCGTGATCTGTAGAGACACTCATCACACACCTTGCAGGTGTTTAAATAAATAGGACTTATTTTGGGACCATAATCCACATTGTCATTGACTCCCCTATGGCTGCATGCTACCATCCATGTAAATTCTTCTCTGGCCCTCATCACTGTGTTGTTGGAGCACCTCACAACCATCAATGGATTATAGCCTCCTAGCATTTCTGTGAGGCCAGGATGGGGACTTGAGGCACAGTCTAGATTACATGACTTAAAACCTGTGGCTAAACCAGGAATTGAGCCTACTCTTCATGAGTTCAAGTCCAATTGACTGTCATTCCTACCCTACTTTCCCTGTGTATGTCATTACAGAAAAGCTCTTACTTTTGCCTGTGAAGTGGAGTGGATTGCTCGTAAGGTCGACCTTTTGGCAGCTGAATTTGCAAAGTTGAAGGTGCATGTCCTTACTGTGCCCCTGAGGTTGATGGAGTCCACCCCCAGTAGCATGGTTATTTTTGACTTTAGCATTGATGCACAGTGGGTAGCAATCCCACAGTCCTTGCCACCTATTTGAATTCTAGGTTATGGTTCCAATGTCTGATGTTGCTGGTCTCCCATAATGCATTTATCTCCTCCCTCCCTCCTGGCTTGAAAGCAATGGCAAACAATGTTTTTCACACCCTTTTTTTCCTGGTTATTTATGCAGGTGCCATAGAGGGCAAACATGAACCCTGCTCATCTTCAAACTGCTGTGACAAGCATTGCAAATACCTTTCACATTATGCTGCAATTTGTCCAGAGCCTAGCCAGTGTGAGGAAGAATGTGAGGAGCCCATGAACACAGATGTGCAAGAACACATTAAGTGGAGCAATTGGTATATGCTGGCAGCAGCTGATCTGTTGACAGAGCTGAACGCCAATTCTGGTGCCGTGAGACAAGCACAGTTTAGTGGACCATATACTTATGAAGTTATGGGAGAATGACCAGTGACAGCAAAACTTTCACATGTGTAAGGCCACTTTCATGGAACTTTGGGAATTGCTTTTCCGTGCCCTGAAGTGCAGCAATTCCAGAATGAGACTTTCTCTGGCAAACGAGAAGCAAGTGGCAATAGCCCTGTGGTAGCTTGCAATGCCAGACAGCTACCAGTCAGCTGGGAATCAATTCAGAGTGGGTAAAGCTACAGTGGGAGCTGCTGTGATCCAAGCATCCAGGACAATCAATACCCTTCTGCTAGGAAACTCCTTTGATTAAGCGGGTTTTACCCAGAAAAGCTCATGATATAATATATTTGTTAGTCTCCAAGATGCCACATGTCTGCTTGTTAAGAAAGATAGTGACTCTGGGAAATATGCAAGACATAGTAGATGGGGTTCCTTAACTGTGGTAGGGCAAGTGATGGAACACAGATCTCTAACTTGGCACCAGACTACCTTGCCAAAGGGTATGTCTACACTACCACCCTAGTTTGAACTAGGGTAGTTAATTTAGGCAACTAGAGTTGCAAATGAAGCCCTTCTGGAATGAGGTGTAACGGTAGTTCGGAATAGGAAGCCTAATCCGAACTATCTAGTTTGTGCCGCGTGTAGCCGCAGGCACGGAGTCCGAACTAGCGGACATTTAAAAATGGCGGCGCCTGGCAATATGCAAATTAAGCCCGGGAAATTCAAATCCCGGGCTTCATTTGCAACTCCGGTTGCCTACATTAACCACCCTAGTTCGAACTAGGGTGGTTAATGTAGGCAGAGTACATAACCCACAAGGTGTACTTCTCAAAGGATTTACAGGTGCTGGTGGATCAGAAGGGTTGTTTCACCAACATCAGCATGGGATGGTCAGGAAAGATGCATGACACATGTATTTTTAGGACCTCTGGTCTCTTTAGAATGTTGCAAGATGGAATTTGTTTCCCAGATCAGAAAATTGCCAATGGAGATGTTGAAATGCCAATAGTTATCCTTGGAGACCAATTCTGCCCCTTGCTCCTGTGGTTCATGAAGCTGTACGCAGGCAGCCTAGACAGCAGTAAGGAGAAGTTCAGGTGCAGGCTGAACAAGAGCAGCATGGTGTTGCTATAAAGGGATGCTTTTGTTGTTTATTGACTAGGTTAGACCTCAGTGAAAGCATTATTCCCATTGTTGCTGCTTGCTCTGTGCTCCTTAATATAGGTGAAAGTAAAGGGGAAAAGGTTTTGGTGCAGTGCATGTGTGTGTGTGGCAGGGGAGGGGGAAGGTCAAGGAAGATTGCCTAGTGGCTAATTATGAGCAACCAGACTACAGAGCAATGAGCAGAGCACATCAAGTGGCACTATAAATCAGGGTGGGTTTGAAAACCAGTTTTGTGAATGACCAGACAGTGATGTGACCGTTATGTATGTTGCTCTTAACAAGAAGCCCCCTGCTGTACGTGTACTGGCCTGTAGACTGCTCCTCCAATGCAGTTGATACAAACAATAAAAATGCTGTTGTTCTGAAATCATGGAGGTTTTTTTAGGAAGCACATGGACCAGAGACAGAAAAGGAGTTCAGGGCATGAGGTTTGAGCCCTTGCAAAGGCAAGTAGATTATTACAATAATCACAGACATCTGTTCTAGAAGAGATCCCTGGGAATTGTATGAAAGGCTGCCTGTGACTCCCCTCCCTCTGCATTCTACGGCACCTGTGAAAGAAGGCTATGGACTTGTTGAGGAGGGCAGGTTGTTTATCGGGTGCAGTGGCTCTCTGAGCTCCAGATGCTTTTCCTGCACCTCTGCCAGGAGCCTCATTAGTTCTGTTTGCTCCCCCATGAGCCTCAACATCTCATCCTGGGTCTTAGGCTCATGTTTTCTGCATGCTTTCCTTTCCTCTCTTCTCCTCATATTCGGTGCATATGATCTGCAATAGTGTTTCCCTCATGCATTCAGCTGAGCTCTGCTGGTGCAGGCGGATTGAATTTGCTCATTAAACATTTTATCCCTTGAATGGTTTTTTTTCACCTTCTGATCTGTGATATCCGAAGCTCTTGAGGATCTGGAGAAGTGGGTAACAGACTCACTGTGCTTGTGAAAACAAAAAAACAAACAAGGGTAGACTTCAGAGAAGATACATTGTAAACCTCAGAAGCTTAGCTCTTTTACCGTGAATGAAGCACTGTGCTGCACAAAAGACATGTGTTATGTACAAGGCCAAATTTGAATTTTAAGTGCTTAGCAGGCAGGTAGAAGACACCACATGGCATGGGGGAGCAAGACTCAATCTGGTGGCAGGCAGGTATGCAACAGGTTTGGGTTCTTGCTTTTTGGCTTCTGCTTTCAAAACATGTGTGACAAAGTGCTTGCCAAGTACAGCCCTCATAGCTATCTAAGGCTGTGTCTAGCCTACATGCCTCTGTCGTCAGAGGCATGAGGATTAGACACATAGGCAAAGGCAAATGAAGCCGCGATTTAAATGATCGCGGCTTCATTTACATTTACATGGCTGCCGCGCTGAGCCGACAAACAGCTGATCCAAAGCCCTTTGACGGCAGCCCCGTTATTCCTCGTTATTCCGACAGAGGCATGTAGTGTAGACGTACCCCAGGGCACCTGTTATTTCTTGGAGGCCTCTTCTGTTGAAAGAACTCCCTCTTCTGTATCCACACACTTTTTTCTGAAAAAAGCTTTTTCGGAGAAAGGCTTCTTCCTCGTAGAAAGAGGTTTATTGCTGTCGGAAAAATTCCTCCATTCTGTCGACTTGCTGTCGAAAGAATGCAATAGCAGTATGGACGTAAGTGTAGTTTTTCTGGGAAAATGGCCATTTTTCTGGAAAAACTCTGCAGTGTAGACATAGCCTATATGAAGAGCCTGATGTTTGTAAGGGTGAGGAGGGGCATTCACAAGGAGCCCCTCAAAGGGGGGAGAACTGGGTGGGTTTATAGGAGCTCATGTGGTCAGTGTGTATTCACCACCTCCAGCAGGACTGCAGACTGCAACTCTCCCTTCTGGTAGTGACTTGTAAGGAGGAGGGAACCTGTTCTCAGGATAATTCCTTCAAGCCCTTTGCAAACAGGGCAGCAAACCAGGGGTCATGATTTGTTGGAGAGGAGCAAATGGAGGTGGGTTGCCTCAGTGCTATCAATTACAGACCTTCTCCTATTTCATCCAGGTTGCTGTGAGCAATATCGGTCTTCTCTGAATCAGAGAGCATAATAGAAATCAGGGGCTGACTGGATGTTCCCAGAAACCTAGACCTTATGCTGCAATGACACCAGACCACTTACTACTGGCTTGGAGTGAGAAGGATCCTTGTGAGAAGGATCAAGGAATTCCGATATAAGAACTTCATAGAGATCTGTAGAAAGGATTCCTGCTCCATCTTCAGACACTCTGTGTAGGCAGAGTGCCTGCCACTGTACACCTCAGGGAAGATCAAGCTGATAAAACCAAATTACATTTACCCATTCAACAGAATTCAACAGAAGTGCGCCCCTCTCCAATATCAGGGTCCTACAGCAATAAATTGTAGAATGGGATTGGCTCCAAAGTTAGAAAAGGAACCTCTGTTTGCCTGCTAAGCATTCACCTCCTCCTCATGTACAATCTCCTCGTTGTTGCTTGTGGTTGCCACAAGAGTCACTTGGGAGGTAACTATGGACAGTGTTAGGATACTGGTAGGGTCCCCCCTAGAATCCCATGCAGCAGCTCATAAAAGTGACATGTTTGAGGCTCTGACCTGGACCGACCATTTGCCTCCTTCGTTTTTTGGTACACTTGCCTGAGCTCCTTTATCTTCATGCGGCACTGGTGGGTGTCCCTGCTGTATCCATTTTCCACCATGTCCTGTGCAATTTTGGTTAGATATCAGTGTTTCTTCTGCTGCTTTGGAGATCTGCCTCCACAAATTCCTCACCCCACTCAGCAATCGGATCCATAATTTCCTGCATGCTCCATGCTGGAGCATGTTTGCAAGCCTGGGCTTTCATGGTCAGGTGTGCTGCTGGGTTCGCCATGCTGGTCAACCGAGAATGAAATTCCACATTTCCTGGGGCTTTTTCTGTGTACCTGGGAGAGAAGCGGAATTGAAAGTGCTGGTCAGAGCAGTTACACTGGGGCACTGTGGGACACCTCCTGGATTCTATGAGTGTTGACTTTAACAGAGCTATGTCTGCACTGTCCCGAAGTTGGCCAGACAAGGTCAAATCTAGCGCTACTCCTCTCATCAAGGAGGAGTACAGAAATCGACTTTAAACACCCTTAACACTGGTGGAAGGGATTTGGTGGTGTTGACTCACTTGTTATCAAATCTACGCAACCCGGCTAACTTGGACCTAACCTCACAGAGTAGGCCAGGCCATACTGCATAAAGTAACTGCACCCAAGTTCTGCCCTGGCCTGAGTTATGTGTAGGCAGTGAACCTTGTGTGAGCCTTCTGCACTGGACTGAATTTCCCAATGAGCCCCAGGGAATGCATGCAATACATTTATATACAAATACATTTAATCTGTTTGAGCCATGGTGGAGTATTAATCTCACTACATTAAAAACCACAACAACTCAAAGTAGCACTTAATCACAGCTGGAGGTTCTGCAGCTGAAATACATCATAAAAAAATCAAAAATGAAAGTGAACAAATGAGAGCAGTGTATAATTACACCCCAAGGAGCTTGCATGCCAAGCAGAGTACAGAAAAGCACCCTCTCACTCAGGTGTACACAAGTACCACTGAATCCATTTATTGTGGATGCACTTTAAAATCAGCTTACATTATATAACCAAACTGGCAACAAATCCACAGCATGCAGTGTCCCCTGCTATGTTAGCACTAAGGCTTTGTCTGAACTTCTAAAATTGAAGTGCAGCTATGGCAGTGCTTTAAAGTGCAGGTATGGCCATGGCACAAGCGCTGGGAGAGATCTCTTCCAGTGCTCTGTGTAAACAGCCTCCATATCTGAGCATCCTCAGGGATGGCCTCTTGCAGCGATGGCAGTGCACTTTCTGGCAAATATGAGCTGCAGAAAGTGGCATGGGCTGGGTCACCGCTTCTGGCCAGGAATAGTGACGTGAACAGTGGGTGAATGTAGGGTTGGGGGAGTCAACCTCCCCACTTAATCCCTTCTGCCTGAGGCCCTGCCCTCATGGGAACAAAGCTCATGCCCCATCACAAGGGCAAGCCTCCAGCCCCCTACAGGAGCTTCCCTGGCCCCAGACAATGGGGAGGGTGGGTGTCATGCAGCCCCAGCCTCCCCAGCTCTGGAGAAAGAGGAGGGCAGGTGTTGTGTGGCCCTAGCCTCCCTGGCCCTGGAGCATGGGGAGCATGGGTGGCCCCTGCCTCCCTGGTCCCAGAGCACTGGGAAGGCAGGCTGCCCCAGCATTCTCAGCCCCCATGGGGAAGGCGCACTGTCCCACCCCCCCCAGCCCCCACAGCGAGGGTGCTTTGCCCTAGCCACCCTAGCCTCAGTGCGGCTGAAGTCCAGGAGCCATGCTGAATCTGGAGGCAGAGTGTGGGTGGGGCCCATCTCTTATAGTGCCACCCAGGAATAGTGAACCACAGCCAATGGGAGTTATGAGCAGCTGTACCTCTGGATGCTCATGTAAATAAAGAATTTGGCAGCCTGCCAGGAGCTAACCCTGGGGAATGGCATCCAGCCGGTAGGCTGTTTATTGCCCAATCCTGCTCTACATGTACAATGCACAAAGCAGGACAAGGGTCTAGGACTTAGGGTCTAGGACTCCCAGTGTTAGAAGGTCTGAGCCTGAATTGTGCTAGGACCCAGGGTTCAAGCCCTATTGCTTAGCAGTGTGGATGCAGCCATACCAGAATTATGCTTTGGAAATCTGCCAGAAGTATTCCACGGTCCCACAGGCTGTTTTTCTCGGTCCTCTGGACAGACAAGTTTTCAAGCTTAACAAAGGGCTACAGTGGCTACATTTTGGGAGGGCATTGGGAAGTCGAGGATATGGGTGGCTGGACTCAGGCCTGCAAAATGCTATATAGATGCTGGAGCCCCAGATTAGGAACATTTATTTCTACCCTTTGTTTTCTATCATTTAACCAGTTTTCTATTAATGAGAGAACTTTCCTTCTTATCCCCTGACAACTAACTTTACTTAAGGAGCCTTTGGTGAGGAACCTTGTCAAAGGCTTTCTGGGAATCTAAGCACACTATATCCACTGGATTCCCCCTTGTCCACATGCTTGTTGACCCCCTCAAAGAACTCTAGTACATTAGTAATGTACATGATTTCTCTTTACAGAATCCTTGTTGATTTTTCCCCTGACAAATTATGTTCATCTACATAATTTGTCTGACAATTCTATTCCTAACTATGATTTGCCCAATACCGATAGACTTCCTGATCTGTAATTGCCAGAATCACCTCTAGAGCCCTTTTAAAATATTGGCTTCACGTTAGCTATCTTCCAATCACTAGGTACGGAAGCCGATTTAAAGGGTAAGTTGCAAACCGCAGTTAATAGCTCTGCATTTTCCCATTTGAGTTCTTTCAGAACTTGTGGGTGAATGCCATCTGGTCTCCTCTCCTCCCATTCCTCCTTAAAGGGTGCATAGGGGGTGGGAGGCTGGAAGCTGGGAGGAACCCTTAACCAGCCTTTTTCACCTGCCTATTGAGTCTGTCTCTTTTCTGTTTGGTTTTATGAGAAGCAATCCCATTCCAGGCATGTCCCATTTTCCTGGCATGGCCAAACCCATAGCTTTAAGATATGATAGAGGAAGCTGCATATCAAATGTTGTGGTCCTAGATCTTACTATTTACGAGGAATTCTTGAACAAACAGAATAACAGACAGAAAGACAAACTCTCTCAGGGTATGTCTACACTAGCCACCCTAGTTTGAACTAGGGTGGCTAATGTAGTCATTCGAACTTGCAAATGAAGCCTGGGATTAAAATATCCCAGGCTTTATTTGTGTGTTCCTGGGCATTGCCATTTTTAAATGCTCGTAGTTCGAACTACGTGCCGGCGGCTACACGCGGCACGGGCTAGGCAGTTTGAATTAAAGATCCTAATTCGAATTGCAGGAGGAGTAATGCTAGTTTGAATTAGGAGCTTTAATTCGAACTGCCTAGCCTGTGCTGCGTGTAGCCGCCGGCAGGTAGTTTGAACTACGAGCATTTAAAAATGGCGATGCCCGGGAATATGCAAATAAAGCCTGGGATATTTTAATCCCAGGCTTCATTTGCAAGTTCGAATGACTACATTAGCCACCCTAGTTCAAACTAGGGTGGCAGTGTAGACATACCCTCATATAGTAGATGTCTCCATTTTCAGAATTAGCAGAAATGGTCAGAGTACATACCTCTTGTTTGGGCCTCATTCAATAGATGATCAAACTCCAATGAGGCAGTAGCTGGGGTAGAAGATAGAAAAGTTTTAGTCAATTGAAAAACCCAGCCCCTAAATCTTAAGTATGTAACTAAAGCCAAGCAACTGCCTGCTCTATCTTCCCAAAAGGCTTTTGCAGCAGGTAAAGCATGAAGATTCAAAGAAAGTTCTTCAAATGATTCTGGACATAATCAGCACAGAGCTGACATTTATGCTAGCAAACTTGGTAGGGTGCATCTAGTAGAGGAGATTGAATTCTCAGTTAGTAGCAGGGACTTTGTCCAAGCTCTTTCAACCTGTTTAATGAAGAACATGGCTTTATAACTCTGAGAAATCAGTAATAGCCTTTCCTTTTAGGTCATCACCAAGAAAAAGGCCATCATGTCTGTTCCTGTAATGGACTTGACTAAGTAATAGTCATGAATCCCATTCTAACTAAAATGTGATGTCTAGGAAGATTGTACTATAATCTGAGGCTGTGGACAAGACAGCAGAAATGTCAGCTTCAAGATCTGAGAGAGAAGGATTAAAGGATTTGTTATCTGACACATAACCGTGGGCAACAAGGTCCCACAGAGAAGGGGTCATGGTCACCGCACAAAAACAAAATGTACGAAAATCACCAGTTGTGACAAATTCTGGGAAAGTTTGTTCTGTGAGGGGGCTTCTCTCTAATAAAGTCAATATGCACAAAGTTTACAACGCTTCTCTCCTGCTTTAGAATAGAATTGATTGAATTCTGAATCATGAAAATGCATCTTCCTCAGTTCAGGGCAACGGCGACCAGTGCTCCCACCTGGGCACCCAGCCTTCTAACTTCCCAGGTGTCATCTCTCTTGGGTGGTGAACTTGCTCCTCTCCCTTCTAACCAGGGTATAAATATTGCCAGGCAGTACAGAGACGTCTGTGCTGTCTCTTCAGAAATGGCTAACAGCTGCAGTTGCTACAATTATAAGTACAACATAGTTCTTCCTAAGCAACCCTACTTTATTCTTAAGTTAAAAGCATTACAGAGAAAACACTAAAAATATTCAAAGAAACTTCATACATGCTAATAAGCTTACCAAAATTAACTCCAGTCCTCACATGGATTCTGGCAGCAGCAGCAATTTTTCAACCTAGAGGAGTCCATGTGGTCACCAGTTCACCAGTTTTACTTCAGAACAAGCACATTCATAACATATTTACTTAACCCTCTACAGCTCAGGGGTCTTTGATCTGGAGTTTCCAGATAATTAGTATACAATAGATTTTTCTCCCCAGGGTATAACTTCAAACATTTGGCTTTGAAGGAGAGAATTTACATTTCCTTCACCCCCAGGTATTTCCTACAAAAACCATTTCACACATATTGTTCCAAAAAGACCTTTGAAGTTGCAAATACCTCCCAGAGATTGTATTAATCTTGTCTTCCTTCTAAAGACATTCATCACACTCTCACCAAAGTACCTAAACATTTGCACTTTAATACAATGTACCCCAAAGGTATCAATCATAACTCAATAAAGTTTATCTTAATTTCATAAAGTTTGTTCAGGATATTACAGGATATTGTAAGTCTGTCTCCGTAGCTTTGCTAGAATATGATTTACTTATATATGAGCCAGTCTTATTTGACAGAATACAAAAATATGCTTAATGATACTTGCTTTGATTATACCTGAAAGGCTGGACTTGTATAACAGTGGTCAACAGATTCTGGGTTGCATAGTTATGAAAAATACTTAAGTATTATTTATCCTAAATTGTAAATACTCTCTATCAGTGAATGAAACCTTTAGCCTGGCCTATCTAGGCAAATATCATTTTAAAAAGTACTGGTAGAACCCCTGTCATCCGGGGTTTTCTGGTCCAGCAACATCTGTGGTCTGTGTCAGCGGTGGGGAGGGGAGGGGCAGGAAACGCAGCTAGCAGCCAGCAGCTGAACCAGGATTGGGCGGGAACCCTGCCAGCTGAGAGTGGAGCTCCACCAGTGGGGACACAGCTCCTGCTGCCCTGATGCTGTTGGTGGGGGGCAAAGAGCCCCTGCAGTCAGAGGCACGGAGCTGCTGCCAATCAGGAAGCCCCTACCAGCCAGGGACAGGGAAGCCTATGCTGGCTGGGGGTCACAGAGCCTCTTCTGGCCAGGGACTCTTAGCCTCTACCAGCTGCAGAAAGGGAGCCCAATTGGCTAGGGACAGGGAGCCTCACCAGCTGCAGTGGGGTGGCAGTTGAGAGTAGACCAAAGCCACTGGATGGGGGCAGCACACCGGCTAGGCTGGTGGCCAGTAGGGGAACCCTGGGAGAGCCCCATGCCTGACCTTGCCTGGTCCGGCAAATTCCCTCCTTTGGGACCACTCAGGTCCTGACGGTGCCGGACCAGGGAGGTCCAACCTGTAATAGTTTTTATATGTTCCATATTTATGACCTCCAACTAAATACCATCTAGTACAGCAAACAGTTACCTTGGGCAATATCTATGGAGTTTTGTACAGCTAACACATGTAGGTTGTCTAAAATTATAGGCAGCACTAATTAACTAGAACATTAAATTTGAACCTGTAGCCAGGAAATGCAAGAGGAAACAGAATGTTATCAGAATCTTTACAGCTTGAAAAGTCTGTTGGCTGTCTCTGAATTGCCAAGTTGATAATAAGAAGGACTATGTAACATTAAACTTCGATAAACAAAACCTGTCTGCTTAAGAAGCCAGAATTAGACCATTGCTTGCTGTAAAAACTAGTGTATAAAGCACAGTGTCAATTGTGAAATTCAGACTAAACCTAGTAAAAAAAAATAACATCAGTGGGAGTAAAGAATATATTTGGCCCTAGCTTCTTTTGTGTTTAACTTCTAAATTATCCCTATTCAAATGTTCCTATATCTTAAAATACAACATCTGCTTAGATAATCTTATGTCCCAGTTCTCCACAGTGTAAAATATTGAATAGCGGGGAAGTGGAAACAAACACTATGATCCTGATAGTTCAACTTTTCTTTAAAAAATGAATGAAAGGTGGATGGAAAAAGACCAGTTTCAGTAAATAAACTCTGGACGACTACTCTCTAAATAGTTTAGCTCTAAATAGACTGCTCTAAAAACACCATTGTACCTAAGGGGTATAAGATTACCTTGAGATCACACAGAGACCATAAACTATTTCACAGAGTTCTCAATGGCAAACCAACACTTATACAGATTAATGAGAACTAGGGTTGTGAAAAGCTCACATAGATAGTAACCAATTTCTGAAACATCAGCTTTTCAGTTGCAGAAAGGAGACATTTTTGATGGATAGAAAAAGTGTGTTTAAACAACCATGTCTGCACTGAAAAGAAGCTACTGTTTTATTTCTGTTTTTATCCAGTTTTCTTCTATTGTGCATATAATAGGATCAAATCCCATGGCCTGCACAGACGCCTTCCTTAGCAAAGAGAAGCTTTGTGGCAACCTGACCAATCATAAAGATGAAGAAGGCATGATGTGGGAGAAAGGATTGTGTGCAAAGTAGCTCTGATATCCTCCATTTGCAATCTTGTGAGGGGGGAGGGAGAGAGGCTCTGGCAATATGGGTTGAATCAGAGCACTACAAAATTTGGACTCTCATTCAATTTTCATCTAAATCAATGGAAAGGCCTCTATTTATTTCTGTGGGAGTTGGATCAAGCCTACGTAAAGGAGGGTCAATGAAGTTTTACAAATGAATTTCCAGTGCCTGACTCCATCCATCTATCTGTGTACCTATGATGGTACGTGAGTTTATATCGTAATATGTTTTATATCAAAGTGAGCATTGTTAAAAGTTAGCCTGTATCCTTGGTTACTACATAGCTATTTCTGGACCACAAATGTAATTTACTGTTCCAAGGACAGGAAAATAAAGTAGTATCCCAGATAACACAGTGTAGTAATTGTGGTTACGTGATGATTTTAAATGCTGGCCAGTTCATGAAGATGTCAATATGGAGTATAAATATTTAAAAATATATTTTTTCAGTATGCTCCATAGCATCAACATTTCATGGTGACTCTGAAAGTAATGTTATAAGCAAAGACTGAATTTAGACTTAACCAAAAAAAAAACCAAGCTCTTACCACATGAGAATAGTTTGGTTCTGAGTTACCAGTTTTGTTTGCTTCTTGGCTTCCTTTGTGTAATAAAGACACTTTCAGCATCAGATCCCATTCTCTTAGGATCATATCTATACTCCCATAACAAAACCTGTAATGGAGGAGAAGGAAAGGGCTCAGGAAACTTCATGAGGTTTATGAAATAGAGAGCTTTTAGCCAGTTTTTAAAAAGTGCTGTGCCATAGCAAAACAGCAAATTCTTCCTATGGCAGCTCAGGCAGTGAGAGCTGCTGAACAATCTGTGAATTATCAGCCTAAACTCACCAAAGGCTCATGCCAGTTCCCATTGAAATCAATCACAAATTTAATCTCAATGAGATTTAGAGTAGGACTATGTCTACACTCGGAAGCACGCAAAGTTGGGAAAAGAAAACCGGTCAAATTGGTTTTCCTGCCTCCCAATGTCAACGTTCTGTGGCCACATTGCTAGCCCCCCCTGCTTACAGATAGAGCAAAGCAAGGGGGGTAAGTATTCCACAGTGCACAGTTGTGAGAAGGCAGAGCTGATCCCTGTGCTTTATGGGATTCTCTCTAGGTTCTCCCACTGCATCCTCAGCTGCTGGGAGCAGCGTCATGAGTAGAGAAATTCTTCATGCTGAGAAATGTCAAAGCAGCACAGCAGTCTCTCCGGCCTTCCCCTTGCAGCAGCATGCTGCAGCTGTGTTTCTAGCAGGGCAGAATGGGACCATTCCAATGATGTGCTCATTTTGAGCATGTCCACACTACAGTGTTATTTAGAAATAACTCACATTACGGGAGCTAATGGCAGGGAACATGGGCTATAAGAGCAGAGATAAAGGAGGAACAAGGCAGAACTGGGAGGGGGCAAAATTAAATCAGTATCTTAGATGCCTATATACAAATGCAAGAAGTATGTGGAATAAGCAGGCAGAACTTGAAGTGCTAATCATTGGAACACAGCTATGACACAGTTGTTATTGCAGAGACTTGGTGGGCTAATACACTCAGTTGGAATATTGGTATAGAAGGGTACAGCATGCTCAGGAAGGATAGTCAGGGAAAAAAGGAAAAAGGTGTTGTATATTACAAATGAATAAACTTGGACTATGGAGGATATGGACAGTCTTGTTGAGAGTCTCTGGGTTAGGTTAAAAGGGGTAAGAAACAAGGGTGATGTCATGCTAGGAGTCTACTACAGGCCACCTACCCAGGTGGAAGAGGTGGATGAGGCTTTTTTTAAACAACCAACAAAATCATCCAAAGTGCAGATTCAGTGGTGATGAGGGATTTCAACTATCCAAACATATGTTGGAAAACTAGGGCTACGTCTACACTGTATCCTGAAATAGCTATCCCGCATCTTCACAGCAAGCTCGCTATTTTGACATCCCTGTAAACCTCATTCCACGAGGTGTAAGGGACATTTCAGAATAGTGGGTTGTTTTGAAATTTGGTGCTGTGTAGACAGCACCAAATTATGAAATAAGCTATTTTGAAATGAGTTTGAAATAAGATACACAATTTGTATAGCTCAAATTGTGTATCTTATTTCCAACTACAGTGCAGTGTACACATAGCCCAACACAGGAGAGCACAGATTATCTAATACGTTCTTGGACTGCATTGGAGACAATTTTTTATTTAAGAAGGCTGAGAAAGCTATTGGAGAGAAGCTGTTCTTAGTTTGATTTTAACAAATAGGGAGGCACTGGTTGAAAATTTGAAAGTGGAAAGCAGCTTGGGTGAAAATGATCATGAAATCATAGAGTTCATGATTCTAAGGAACAGGAGAAGGGAGAACAGCAAAATAGAGATAATGGATTTCAGGAAGGCAGATTTTAGTAAACTCAGAGAGCTGGTAGGTAAGATCCCATGGTAAGCAAGACTAAGAGGAAAAATTACTCGACAAATGCACTCGCCCGCTCGCCCGTTCGCCCGTGGCGAGTAGATTTTTCCAGCTGGTGAGTGCAGGGGTGGACTGGCCCGGTGGGCCGTTGTGACGGGCTGGCTGAAGCCCGCACTATGGGCGGCGCGGCCCCATCCAATCCGCCGGCCGGCGGA